AATAGAAATTCCCTTATAGTTGAATTTGGAGCTTTTCCCCTCCACATCAAAGTGTCACCACACTGAACCAAACAGCAGCTCTCCCACATGTGCTCCCATGTGAGTGGAGGGGGGGGTGGTCTTTGAGGGGGGTGACAGCTGGCTGTGCAGTGAGGTGCGACAACCCGACATGGGTTTATGAAACCAGACCCGGTTGTCAGGTGATTCAGACACACACACACACACACACACACACACACACACACACACACACACAGACGTTTTTCACAGGAAAGTTTGACATTTGTTTTCCTTTCTACTCAAGCTTTGGATTGACCTTTTTGCCGCAGGTTCAAGCTTATAAGAGTAGTGTTGTAATCCCAAAGAACAATACGGCTGTGTAACACTAGTGTCCAGTCTGGACACGCTGTCCTAGGTCACTGCTCTTCACTGGTTGTGTGTGATGGCATTTGTGGGTTTGTTTAACTCCGTCTCAGTTACACGGATCGGGTTCTTCCACAAAGAGACAAAAAGAGCTCCTCTCTTTTCCCTGGAGGTTATTTCAAGGAGACAGAAACCTTAATGATGGTGTAAGGCTGTTATATTGTTACTAGAAGATACTGATGCTGCGTCCCTGGAAAAGTATGAGCCACACGCCAAGCTGTGAAGTGCAGTTCAGTGAACAGCTAGGTCTAAAAGTAGATACGGAAACGCACATTGTTCTGCCCGGCTGCTCTACAAAGAGAGGAGCACTCAATGAGCTGCTGAAAGGAGAAGGGCACAGGATTAGGTTTTAGGAATGGAGCTGGAAAGAAGAGTTAGCGAGAAATGAGCGAAACAGCTTAAAATTGGTAGAAACTGACAGGAATGAAATCAGTTGAAGGAACAAAGTAATTTAGTTCAAAGGTGGGAATTATTAAGAAGATTTGACTTTAGAAAAACGCAATGAGAAGTTTGTGCTACCTATTATTTGCCTGCTAGCACTGCTCCTCTCCATTTCACCAAAAAGCCCCTCACAATATGTTGACGTTGATATGCTGACAAATGTGCCGGCGAGAATTGAGCAAGGGGGAACTTGAGTTTCTCCATGACGTCACATCGTCTGTAACATGCCAGACATGCCACCCTGGAACCCAATATTGTCTGCTAGCCAACAGCAACCACACACACACACACACACACACACACACACACACACACACACACACACACACACACGTGCAGACACATTCTGTCACATGAATCAGCTAATTCACATGACAGAAGGATCAGGAGTCAAATGATTAAAAGCTTGTTTGCTGAGGCTGATGTTGTTGACAGCCCGGGCGTTTGTCCAACACCTTTTCCAGTAGACTCTGATAAAAAGTGATCTGAGCCAAGAATCCTGCTGGAGCCAGCTTCACTTGAGAGTAATGACCAGGTGGAGCAGCTCCATTTTAGACAGCCATTATTGTCACCAGTCCAAGTGCTTTTTGTGAGAATGCAGCATAACAAACATTAAGTAAGGAGGCGAAGGAACAGAGTATTTGCAGCTGACGGGTTTAAATTGATGTTTTCTTTCTTTCTCTGCTCTAGCTTCTGGAGCTTATCGCCAAGTCCAAGCTGCCCTCGCTCAGCGGAGTGGCGCAGAAAAACTACATGAATATTCTGGAGAGAGTGGTTCAGAAAGGTGAGCGTCTACCCACTTCTGCTTTTTACAGTCACTCAACTCCTTTTCTCTTCTTGTTTGTGTTGAAGGGTTTAATGTCCTGCTCTTACTACTCACACATGCGCCCACTTCTTACTCCAAATCACAATTCTTGCAAATTTCAAGTCCATTCCATTTTCTTTATTGTTGGATCAAATGTACTAAATGTACTACATGTTGCACTAATAAGTGAGGAAATTAGCGTGATGACCTGTAAAGAAGGCAGAGGAGTGCATTTAGTGCTTTAACAGCGCAGTGAAAAACACTGACGGTCACCAGGCGCCTCAGTATAAACTAAATGTTCCCTCTGCTGAACAGAGATTCAATATTATAAACGCCACAAGACAAGAGTGTTTGTGTTGCACTGTTGGAGAAGCCTGTGACACAAGATTTCCATCGACATAACTACACTGTAGCTATGTTCGTTGATGATAAATAAAGAACCTTGTACAGCCACTTCCAAAACATTTGCTTTAACAACGTGCTTTTTAATGACTCACAATTCATATGTTGCTGCTTGGAAGCTAGACATCTCGTTTTTAAGCTAATGAATTACGGCAAATATCTTCTGATTTCCTCCTCAGTTCTGGATGACCAGCAGAACGTCCGTCCCATCAAGGAGCTGCTGCAGATGCTCTACATCTCGCTGTGTGGTCTCGTCCAGGACATGGGCAAATCGGTCCTGGTGGGGAACATCAACACGTGGCTGCACCGCATGGAGAACATCCTGCAGTGGCAACAGCAGCTGGACAACATCCAGATCAAAAGGGTAAACAATACACGCAAACAAACAAGAGAATATCAGGAACGCCAGCTTCGGATTTCCATTATATTTCTGTTCCTCCTGTTTCCTGCAGCCCACGTCTACAGGCATGAGTCTGACTGACCTGCCTGTCAGTCTGCAGCTGAACATCATGCAGCGTCTGACAGACGGCAGGGACCTGGTCAGCCTGGGTCAGGTGTGCCCCGAGCTGGGGCCCCTCACCGAGGACCGGCTCCTGTGGAAGAGACTCTGCCAGTACCACTTCACAGACAGACAGGTATGTAGGACTTAATAGGTGTACCGAAATGTATTTAGAATGAGGCTTCAGATAACCTCCAGGTTACTTACTTGACACTGTAAATCCCATTAAAGGGACTCTACAAGGATAACAACATTTCTGCATTAAAATAGGAGACTGAGTAACCTTTAAGAATGCCCAAAACATGCACAAAGTCTCAGGCTTTACTCTAAAGTATAGTAGGTTACAGTGAAGCTTTACTTTAAGTTAGAGAGCTTTAGATTTAATTTGTGTTAGGGCACAAACTCTTATTGTTTAAGGCTCCATCTTTTGAGCAGTTTCTCTTTGCCCTTGCAGTGAATTGGCATTCAAAATAAATTCTCAAGAAAGCTGACATTAAAGCAGATATTTCTAAAACCTTTTTCTCTCCTTGGGTCGTGTCTTAAAGTGTGTTTACTTCTTCTTCAGATCCGAAAGCGCCTGCTGGTGTCAGACAAAGGTCAGCTGGAGTGGAAGAAAATGTACTTCAAGCTGAGCCGCTGCTATCCTCACAGAGAGGAGTACATCGACACCCTGCACTTCTGCTCACACTGCCACATCCTTTTCTGGAAGGTAGTATTTATTTCTATTTTGCATTTGATCAAAGTGGATATGCAACAAAAATATCACCTTTTTGTGAAACTGAATAAATAAACCTGTGTTATATTTATCTTTTTTTTGTGTCTTTTTCTAGGATACAAACCATCCCTGCACAGCCAACAACCCTGACAGTTGCACCATGGCCCTCTCCCCTCAGGGCTTTATCAACCTTTTTAACTTCTGACCCCTCTCCCTAAAATCCAGATGAACTGACTGTACATACTGTACATAGAAATGTACAATTTTGTTTTATAGCACAATGAATTCCTGGATGTGTATTTTGTTGAGGCGTGCTGGAGGGGCCTCAGGCAGTGGGACGATTTTGCAATTGAGTTTTATTTTTTTTGTTTTTGAAAGAGTGCAGACCTCTGGGAGAGTTTCAGTTGAAAGCGAGGGAATATGACGGAGAGGAAAAGAGATGTAGCAGTGGGCCTGTGGATGGAGGATAAAGGGAACACTTTGCTGTCAGGGTTTAGTCTTAGTTTATTGTGCTTTTTCAAAGGACACCTCCAAAGTAAACACAGCTCTTGACCTCAGATGTGTGCACTTGTTTTTCTCAAATTTGGGAGTTCGTTTTAATTTTTGTTGGGTTTTCAAACCTTGAAATGTTCTAACACAGGAAGTAAGATTATTCAAACCTGTTTTGAAATGTGTCCTGCTTACATGGGAAGATGCAATGCGTTTGAGGAAGTTTGCAATATTGTTCTGTCTGGCACTGGGACGTAGAGACGTACAGTAAATCTTGAGTTGCTGCAGTAAGAGATATTAAGCATGGGAGTCCGTTATTGATCATTAGACTGATGATTCTATGATAAGTTGACGCACCACATTTTCTATTTAACTTTAGTTGTTTTTCACTTTTATAAAGATTTGATATGACTGTTTTTTTTTTAAATTGTGTGTTCATTTTCTCATGTGACTGCTATAGCAACAGCGCTTGAGTACAGTATTACCAAAGATTGTAACTGTAGTCAGTATAACGATGGCATGTGTCTTATCATGAAACTTGAAACAGGTACCGCTATCTTCTTGTTGGCAATGCTTTCCCATCCTGATGCTTTCTTTAGTTTTAATCATCAGCAGCTCTCTCTCATTTACAGAAGTCTTTTAAATTGGCTGTCTGAAGCAACTTGTTTTTCTGTAGTCCCGCATGTTTTTTTAAACACACGCTGATTGTTAACTTATTTATTGAGATTCTTGCAAGGAACTGAAATATTAGGATGAAGGTGCAATTGTTTTACCCAGACTTTCCTCTATTACTGTGCACGCAGTGAGGAATAATGTACATGCTATGCAATGCATTCTCTTTATGTTCTGTTGAATAAATAAAAGAAGAAAAATAATCTAACTTGTGCCATTGCCTCCATTTCACATCTTAACATGATATTTCTGAGCCAACACTAAAGTATTTTTGCTGGACAATTCGTATCCAGATTTAAAATGTACACTAGCTTTTGTATAGAGGTCTGTGGTGTTGCCTGTTGCTGAAAGCTAGATTGTGCCCTCTATTGCCCTCGACAACATGATAAACTGCAAAGTAGTACAAAAAAGATCTTGGTAATTAAATAAACTTATAAAAGAAATGTGACTTATTACTAAGTACCTTCAAATACAAGCGGACCTCTCCATTGTCTTTAAAGCAACAACAAAAAGCATGTCAATTTCTTAAACAATTGTTTTAATTGTTTCAGCAGGACAACAGTTGAAGTTAAAACAAAATATAAAAAGCAAATTAAACCATTTTGTACGACAGTACCAACAATATAACAATTCACTGCTTGTTACATGTCTTTTTAGATAAATATGTATAGAAATATTATGTAGTTATTTTTATATTACAAAGAAATATGTTTTAGAACAAAAGACATTTGTAATGGTGTGTGTTTCCAGCGGTGTTGCACATACAGTACTGCTCCTTAGAGGGTGTGTAGGTAGGTAGCTTTTTATAGAGAAAGTCAACATTTGGAAGTGTGTCCGACTTGCTAAGGCATAAAAGAGACGGCTGGAAAAACTATAAAGCTGAACATGTCATGTTCCTCAATCAAATCTGCTGGTTTAAGGCATTTTGCCCAGAATGTTTACAACAAAAGGTGCCCTTGTATTGTTGCTTTGATAGCAGATAAAGAAGGCAATGTTAATAATACATTTCCATATTTTCCCCATCATTTCTTAGCTGCATTAGCAAATGTAAAGCTTGCTACCTAGCTAATATCAATCTATCTTTAATACACAATCTCCTCTTTTAATACAACTATCATGCAAACATATCATCTACAGTGTTTGCCTCATGGAACACATAAAAAGCTGTCAGATTTGAATTCCAGCAGTTGTCGCCAGTGTTGGACATACAGAAGAACATCGATTCAAATTAAATTGTTGCATATTGTCAGTGCACCATTACTTTTTTTCTAAAACAAGTGTATCTCTTCTAAAATATGATGAAGATATGACATAAGAGCTAAAAGAATGTGGTCAGAATATTATATTCTAACCAATAAAAGTCTGAGAGGCCCTTGAATTTTAAACCTTCAGTTTTTTCAGCAGTAAAGAAAATGGTCCTGTTCTCCTCGCCTTGATTTGAATAGCAGTTGATGGTTTTGCGTTTTCATTGAGCCACGCCTGCCGGAATTTGACCCTTGATTCCAGCTCTAAAAACCATTCCTCTTTGGCAGCATTACACCGTCTGTCTGAGCTCCCACTGCATGTGTACCAACTCCAGAGGGTCCTGACGCACTGAGAATCCCCTGCTCTATGAGGTGTAGCGGGGAAAGTTCTCGGCACTGCAGAGCTGCTGTCCTGTGTATGCAAACAGGAGCATTATGTGACACATGTTTACATATTTCCAGCTTTAAGAGAGTATAAAAGAGTGCCATGCTTATAATAATCTGCTAAGGAAAGCAAAGAGAAGAGTTACCAGAGTTAGTAAATGTCACAGAGAGGCACGTTCTCTCTTTCAGAGTTCTTAATAATCCACTCAATAGCATCCCAACCCTACAGATCCACACAGAGAGACAGCAGGTTAAAGAGGAGATATATACATATGCAGGTGAACAGTGCTGAAAAGTGTAACTTTTAGCTGCATGTCCGGAAAACTCACATTGGAACTGCAGAAAAACGTACAGAGACAGAAAAGTCCCAGTTAGAAGGCATGCAAAGAAATCACCAACACATCCAAGTTCAGAAATAGCAATTGCAAGTGCACAAATGGGCTTGTATTACCTTTATGGCATTAGCTGACATTCTCATTGCCATCATCCCCTCTAGGTAACTGCCTAGACTTAGTCCCTTGACTGTGATGATGGCCTCCTGGGTCAGGATGGTACTGAGGAGGTGACAGAGAGTTATTGTAAGACAAGAAAAGACAGAAATAACACTGCGTACCTGCAAGACACAATGTCTCTGAAACAAGAAGGCATAACTAACAATGTACTTACACGTCAGGGTTGTCTGGGTGCGGTCTGTAAAGAAGCCTCTCATCCACTGAAATCAGGTTGGTGAGAGTAATCTAGGGGATAAGTACATTTCCGTAATTATGGTATATTTACACGGAATATATGATGAATATAAAATGCACACTATTGATGAAGTAGCCATTGCAATGTACCACACAGTATGTCTGCGTGGTACATGAAGATGTAAGTAGCAAATCAAACTTGAGTGATGTATGTGAGTTCAGTTTGTTCAACATTTGAAAGCTTTCAGTATGAACTTACATTTGTTGAGCACAGCTCCATCTTCTTCTTCTCTGGGTCCACTATGGAGTGTTCCTGCACGTACGTCTGCGTGTGGTTGGTTCCCAGTATCTATACCCACAATAATACAAGTCACTTAACCTATAACTTTGTCTTGTCTCCATGTATGCATGCCTCTGTCTGCATACTTCTATATTTCTAAACATCTGAATGTTAATGTTGTGGGGACTGACCGCTCGCACGATGCCCGGCAGGCCCCACTCTGTGCTGAGCAGTCTGTGGCTGTGCAGGCGTCCCTCTGCGTCCAGACTGCGGTCCAGGACATCCACCCCCACCACGTTAGGGTTCATGGGGTTTGGGTACTTCCTCATGGCAGCCTTGATCACCGTCTCCCAGGGGTAACTGAGCACAAAACAGAACAAGTAAAACGAAGGGGGAAAACATAGTAAATGATCACTATTGGCTGCAATTGGCTGGCTATCTTTTGATAAACTGACATGGTTGACTATGGAATGCGTTTTATAATCTCAATATTGAATCACATGTGCAAAAAAACAAACAACCCTCCAAATCCTGAGACATAGCCACCCCATAATGACTTCCCTTATCTGGGACAAGGCTGTGATTTGGGTTGAATCCTGACGATAAATGCTCATACTTGTCTACATTCAAAAGCCTATTATAAAGAGCAGGTGGAATATACTGAGCAGAATCATACAGACGTCTGATTAAATTCAGATGTATTTAAACTTGGTAAATATGAATAAAGGTCCCATCAACATAGCCCACATGAGAGACCTATATGATTATTATAAACAATAAACCAACCTGAAAACATGTTCCGTGCTCCAAATCTTCATCTTTCAAAAGTCTTGGCCTTATCGCTGAGAATCCCTCCGTGGTCCAAATTCACATTTCACCGGACCATTTAAACATGAAACACTAACGCTTTTCCAGTGATAAGACAGAGATAGCAGGGCCTATAAAGAGAGCTCCTGACCATCACTGAGGGGAGTCCGGGATGCGCATGTCGGCGTCTCCTCGCACATCAATCCTGCGTAAAGACTGCCCACTGTGCCCTGCTGATCCCCGAGTGACAGGAGAAACCGACAGGAAAGGTGTAAAGTATAATACAACAAACAGCTGTTACGGTAGAGGACAAGAGGAATGCCGGTGCAAAAGAGAAGAGACCAAATGTCAAGACAGACCGAGTGAGATACGGGCTTCTGCAGGTATTTCAAAAATAAAAGCCCAACTTTTGTTAAACCCAATATCTGTCACGGATTTTGTAATATCAGATCAAAATAGCTATACATATTTCGATGTACTGTTTTACTGGAATTGCATTGCTAAGCAACAGGGTCCTTTTGAACTTCCTGTCAGTTGATGTCACCAAATCACTGCAACCGTTTGTGAAATGGTAGGCTACTGTATGAGACAATTACAAAAATAATTGTGGCTTTTCTTGTCCACACATTTGTAAAGTTTGGGCAACAACGTTTGGGTATCCATTGTGTTTTGCACATACACTATTCAATTAATTTCTTGTCCATCAATTGATTCATCTTTTTTCAGTTTTATTTTGAAGGCAATACCAATTTCTCCTCTTTCTCTTTGTGTTTCTGACTTGACGATGCTGCTGTAGCACTGCTGTCACTGCTGTCACTGCTGTGCTGCTGCATCCGCCTCCATTTGTGCGCATGCGCTTAGCATCTTCTTTCCATCATCCTGGTCAAGTGGCACAACCGAGCTGCATCAAGCTAGAAAGAGACAGCATGGAGAACGTAGGAAATACAGTGACATCGCTTCCAAATAAACCCTCTGGTTTTGAGAATGAAAATATATTCACTGAAGATTAACCTCAAACTGTTGCCGTAAAGTCATTTAAAGATAACGTAAACCAATTATTCAATTGTTGTCAATCAAGTATACTGTAGGCCTATGAGTCATTCAGGTTTAAACTCTTAGGATTTAATTCACAAGGCAGCATGTCTGGATGAGTTCATGTTATTAATAGTTTCATTAGAGCTATATTTTGTATTGTTTTTTTTATTGCTGTTGTTTTTTGTTGTTGTTATTTGTATAGCCACAACAGGTTTGGACTATGTAGCCTATATAAACATTTTTGACTTCGAAAACCTTTATTGGTGCATTTTATTTTGAAAGTTTGGTCGGATGTGTTTTGTTTTGCTTGTCGCTGGCGGTGTGCGGGTTCAGGGATCCAGTCAGGCGAGGCGCAGTGGAGGCTAGTGTGGTCCATTTACGAGAAATCCATGCCATCGCCGTTTATGCCACGGCCCGTTCATTGCACACTGGATACGGAACACTTTATAATTTCATAGAGAACAAGCTCATCCGATCCCATGCTGGAATAACACACACTGCATGACCTTGCATTGAAAGTCATTAGGGAGGGATTTTTTTAAAGCACCGACACGGTAAGGTAATAAGCATCTTCATTCGAGATAAAGCGAGATCAATGTCGATATGTTGTGATGGTATATTGCCTTTGTGCAGTCGTTACAATTTAGACCATACTATCTTGGATGGATAGGAATTATGTTATTTTACAGATGCGAGAAGGAAAGAGCTTTTGGAAAAAACATAGTGATGAGAGGACTGCTCAGTCAGCCTGGTTGAAGGCCGGACTGCATACCGCAGAATTCAAATACTCGCCACTCCAATCGTTAATAATCCGATTATAAATCTATCAGCCTAAACCCGTCAGGAACACATACAATGCGGTTAAATGTGTATTTCTAACAGTGGTGTATGGTTTATTCTTAGAGCAGTTTATGCGGACAGCGCTTGCATGACTGATGCTGCAGCAGCGCTTGATCCGCTCCAGGCGCGAGAGAGCGAGAGGGGGTGGGAGAGAGAGGGAGAGAGGGGGGTCTCGTATTTTTAGGGATCATTCAATCACACTGAGGCAGAGGCTGCCTGTGCTCCCTGCTACTGATCAGCATATGCAACAATCTGGCAGATGACCCATTTCAATGTAAAAGTGGGGCACGAGGCTCTCCCCTCCTCATTATAAGTGCACACCAGTTTGGCTGGTGGTCGTGCACGCCAAATATCTGCTGACACATGCGCTCTGCCGGCCGGGGCTCCCACCCTTTGTGTGCAATGGAGCCTAGCATATCATGGCTCATTGGGCCAAGGGCTACTATAGCCTTGACCTTCTGTTGGCCTGGGATGGTTTCTTTTTGACGCTTCATACATGTTAAAGTTGAATCATTTTTATTTATTTCAGCATTATGATGTACCAGTTAAAAAATAAGCATGTTTAGGGGGACATTATTGATTTATCGAAAGATGATACCACAATTACTCTGATCTACTTAATGCTGAGATTCCAGAGGCCTTCATTCTCACACCTCGCTTTATTTCAGGTCCTCGACCGCAGCCATGGAGATTGTCACACATTTTATAAATGACACCATAGAGTTCTACAAATGGACTCTAACTATTGCAGGTAATTATCATGTATCTTTGTCGTTTCACTTTTTGAGAGAAATTTTGTTTTGCAAAGGACTTACTGTGTTTGCACTTTAGGTAGGTTTTTCCTATGAAAACATTGAGTCAGTAAATGGGTGGTGCTTCAGTGGAAATTGGCAAAAGAATGAGTCAAAGCTGCACTATAGTGGAAGAATGTGTGCATGGGCCATGGACATACAATAAATTGCAGCCTGTCCTCCTAAAAAAAACGACCATATAGGTTGATTGTTCAGCAGCTTATTACGACCCATAGTCACGTTTTAAAGTGTAGCACCTCTACGTTGATTCTAAATGAGTCATGTTCTCTTTTGCTCCTTCATTTGTTCCTCCTGTTTATAACTGAACTGGAATAGATAATGTAAAGACAATGTTTCTTTCACCTTCACACTTATATACTAATTTACAAGTAGCACATGGAAATAGTGTGTCTGCATCCAACCGACCTCCAGACAGGCGACCTCTGGACCTAATCTGGCCTCTGTGCTCCTGTTGTGTGGGACGTGCACTCTTAAAATAAACTGGCACTGGACCCACGCTGTGTCAGTGTAATGTGAACAATAAGAAAAGTTATGTAATGCTATGAGAACATCTTTCCCGCAGACAAGCGAGTGGCGAAATGGCCTCTGATGGACAACCCCCTGCCCACGCTGGCCATCAGCACCTCCTACCTGCTATTCCTCTGGCTGGGGCCCAAATACATGAAGAACAGAGAGCCTTTCCAGCTCCGCAAAACACTCATTGTCTACAATTTCAGCATGGTGTTTCTCAATTTCTTCATCTTCAAAGAGGTAGGTTGCTATCACCTACATTCTACCTTCTGTTGAACAACATGTATGTCTTCTCCACGAGGCTAAAGTGGTGATATTCCCTATTTGTTTCTAGCTTTTTATGGCAGCGCGGTCGGCGAGCTACAGTTACATTTGTCAACGGGTGGACTATTCAGAGGACCCCAATGAAGTCAGGGTGAGTGTTTGGCGCGGAGACACACACACCCACTTGCGATGAATACAAATGTTTACCTCAATGGATTAACCAGCACCTGCTGGTTATGTAACTTTGTTCATATTGTTCATGTGTGTGCAGTAATTAGTTTCCAGAAGTTATAAAACACCACTGCTTATTACGAGTACCATGCTTCACAGATTTATTTGACTTCATCATAGTGCTTTACTATACTCAATGGTTTTGGAAACATGATCAGCTTCCGTTCAACTAGAATCTGCTTCTGTTATCAGAAAAAGTAGGAGGTGGAAGAGGGATAATCAGTGTTGTTTCAAAACAAAAGCACTCGTGTTCTTGGAACTGTGATAATATTAAAAACAAGGTGAATTTAGCGATCACAACGAAAACAGCCAAGACCTGTTTTGAGCCCAGAAAACTAATGTTATTAAGGGCTCTAAATATAATAATGCCTATATCTACAATGGACAACATTGTTAGGAGATTTAAACTATGCAGCGATTCTGCACTCAGCCGTCTCTCGAGTTTGTTTTTTCAAATCAGCAGCTCCTGCTACATTCAATGAGTGATACAAATATTATTTACCATAAGTTCTTAATAAAACTGACTCTCTTGGACTCGGTACTAGTTTGACCTCTACCAGAAATTAAATGAAGTACTTTTACTGTGTACTTTGTGAGTAATCCTCTGTCAGAGTCCCCTCCATAGTACATAATGCATGTTTTTCTGCTATCTTTGATGAGTGATACAAATATAATTGTATCATTAGTTCTTAATGAAATTGATACTGTGACTTTGTATTAGTTAGCCTACTACTAACAATTATCTTTTGTTGCCATTAGTTCTTCGTGAGATTGATCCTGTTGGACTCAGTGAAACTATACCCCCACAAGTACTATGAAGTACTTACTGTGTACTTTTCCAGTAATCCTCTGTCAATGTCCCCTCCTGAGTACAAGAATGCATGTTTTTCTTTTAATAAGCATTACAAAACATTTCTTCCTGAGACTGATATTGCTGGACAGAGTATTTTAAGAGGATATGGTAGACATGATATCAGCACTACTTCCAGTCAGTACTCTAGTCTTTAGAGTCTGGCCTGGATAGCTGGTCACAACTATCCTTCAGCAAAGTGACACACTCTGTCACTCTGGTTGGCCTCTTATGATGCTGCTGTCTTTTAATATATGATTATTTCTCAGCCACTAGTGTTAAGAATGTCACAAGGCTCAGGACCCAAACGCACAACACCAGAAACAGGTCAGGATTAACAAGGTCTTTAATAAAGGCAAAAACACAAAACGCTCACTAGTAGTGATGTTACGTATTGCGCCGAGGCTTCGGAGCGTGTGTCGAGTAATCCCCGAAGCTTTTTGTGAAGCATGTATCGAGGCTTGTATCGTTTTGTGCCAGTGACGTCACCGATGACAAACGAAGCCTCGCTGCCTGTCGATACCACGTGACTGCTTCACGCAGAGATTCAGATCGGTTGAACCGTTGAACCACAACGCTCATAATACCAATGGATGTATAATAAGAACCATATTACCCCTCCTGTACCCGGGCCCGGTGACACGATGGAATCAAGAGAGCTCAGACCCTCACTTATAGAGGTCGGAACATGTCATAACGTATAAATAGATACAAGCATAAATAAATGTAGGAATAAAAACATGAATAAATACAGAAATAAATACAGGAATAAATATGTTCCAGTGTTTTCAGGGAGCTGTAGT